GGAAGCACTGTCTGGCGCGTCTGCCTCCGCGACCCGAAAGGAGAAGCGGCGATGGAAGATGAAGAAGATAATATTGCGAGAATCATCGCAGTTGCTGAATTTCTATATTCCTCTGACCTGACGAAACCATACAATAATTCTAGGAACAGATTGCTGTGCCATTATTTTAAACTTTATCGTTTGTGCATTTGCGCATTGCACATTATATATTTGCGTGCTGACATAGTGAGCTGAAAGATAGATCATAGTGAATTGCAGATGCTCATACGATGCATTGGATAACGTTTCACAAATCTCGCAAGCTATGGCATGGCTACAAAAGAACATCATGTAATTTTTTAGCTGACAAGACAGCAATTTACTGCAACTTAGCTTGTTGAAATCATCCAAGCAAAATGGGATGATAAATTTGGACAACGAAATCTGCAGATGATAGGAAAAACTTTTACGCCTAACTTGACAGGAACCAAGCATTTATAAAGTGTAAGCAATCTCTATGTTACTGTTCCCTGAACGCCCCAACGCTCATTTGAGGTTGAATAATATTAATTGGACTGACGTTTGCAGAAAATCATGAAGGCATTAAGCAGAATAAATGTCAACCTAAATCTGCCTTCGAATCAAGCAGTCGTAATCCAGTGCGAAAAACATCGTCTTCCATTAGTCGCATAAGAGTAGGGCATTAACAGATGTGCACTCTCTACGTATAAACGCGTATTTGGAGACTTGATTTATTCCAAAAACTAAAACTTGAATTGCTGAATGAGCGAACAGCAAATTTCCCAAAACAAGTTTCCATTGGATAACTGAAACTTATATTTACTTATGCCTTGCGCTGACTTTCAGCTCATGCTCATTTAATTAATCAAGACTAATTGAATATTATATTCACGCATCATTTAGCTTAATCCTATGCCTCTCAAGCTCTGGCATAATAACACCACAGCACTACGGCTTCAATATTGTTCGCAGGCCAATGATTTGCTACCAGTTTCGTAATCGGGTAATAAAGCACAGTGATATGAATTCCAAATTTAAGAGAATCAGCAATTGTACAAAGAAATTTCTGCGTTACTCATGAAACTCGAACCCCGAACCTATAGTGAAAAGCAGCACTATAGCCCAAAGCGCCAATGCACCTGCATCATTGTCTCCTTTAAGTATGTAGGCAGAAAATAAAGAATTTGATAGAATTATGTATGCTAAGAATTAGAAAACTGACTTATTTTTCTGAATATTTGCGGAAAACAATTTTAGTGAATCTAAAGTTCAGTTTCCTAATATTTTAACTCGATATTAGTGCATTAAAGTAAATTTATTCAAAGTGTTATTGACATGGATGGTCTATATTTGATTAGTAAGTTAAATAACTGAATTTCAAGGAAGGAAGTGCGCTCCTTGTTTTTCTCGCGTTTGTACTGGAAGTAGCTTCAAGATAATGCATTTCTATTCCCTGTTTCATCTTGTTTTAGATACATTTGGTACTCTTTGTTAATTTCAAGCTCAGTTTAAAATCTGAAGTTCTTGTTTTTAATAGTAATGGTGCGAAAATCTCGTTCGGCATAATTAATATTTTAAAAATGTTATTCGTTGTCTTCACGCCATCTTCAAGATATATTTCAATGATTCAGCTTTTAAATTGTATGAGATATGTTGTAACATTTAACCTAAATGTCCTGTATTTCATCTTCATCTTCCATAGCCGCTTCTCCTCTCGGTTCGCGGAGGCAGATGCTTCCAACGTTCCCGATCCTGTGCCTGAGTCTTAGATTCGGTAAAAGACAACTGGAGTCTGGAACAGACTCCTTCCATATATTTGCATTAGGTTAGTCTTTACCATCCCCTGAGCCTTCTGCCGGTCGGTTTCGCAAGAAACAATTGCATAGCCTTCTTTTCTGAAGGCATTCGCAACACATGCCCAAGCCATCCTGTATTTCATTTGTTTCTAAATTTTTGTTTGTTTCTCATTGTTATTATTACCTGTATCCAGGTAAAGCTAATTTTGCATGCTAGGTTTGTGGTTACCGAGCCCAGAGTGTAGCAATTTTTGTTTTCTTTGTCGAGATCTGTAAGCTTCCACGTGGAGTTTACGTTATTGACGGGTGGAATCCATGTCACTTTCGCATTTTCAAACAACTTGATCGTTGTAGGCTGGTGATTCGTCTGTTCCATCCTTACAAGAACGGTCGATGTTCTTGCCACAGCGTTTATTTAGGCACAGAAAGTTACCACTTTTTCAGCTTAGCTTTAGCTTTTGGCTGTTCACGAAATCCTCCTGCTTCATGTTGTCTAGCTGCTGCAAGTATATCACTTTCGTATGGACTTTTGGTGTTTCATATTTTGAAACACGAAGACACTTCATATTTAAACACTTGCAGACTTCTGCTGTATTAGTTTGAATGGTCGCTGGGTAACACGTGAGTCAAACAGAAAACGATTCCAAAATCTTTACTACCGCAGTATGACGTAGTGATTGCATCCCACCATCAGATGAGATGCTGCCATGTGTGAGGATGCCATATTGATTCATAAATCCGATGGAAAAAAATTTTCGACATCCAGAAGTCGTCAGTACTTTTTTGCTTTGGTGGGTCATTCACGGAGTCGAAAATTTTGCACCCCTCATTTGGCATTTCAAAACTTATGTTCCGGAACGCTTACGAAGATTTGATCATGAAATAAAAAATAGCTGTTTTTCTGTTTCATTGACTCTCGTTCAACAACTTGACTGAGAATTTGTTCATAGTTCTGTTTATGCTTTCATCGGTTTTTTTTATTTCACTGGTGCCCGTTTGTACGTTTGTCTTAAAGAACCGCGACTTTCCGTTCTTGAAAGAAGGCCGGTGAGGTACTGGGCGAAACATCGGTATCGATTTTAGGCTCGACGGACCGCTATATTTCTTGTGTATGGTAATTCGTTTTTGTGCTGTTTTTAGTATCTTATTTAATTTTCAAATGTCTTTTGTTTATTTTAAAAGTGCACTCTTGTTCATGCAGTAAATTTTAAACTTTTAAGAAAGTTCAAGTTTCACATTCGTGCAGGTAACGTGGACAATCGGTATTCGTAGTAAGCAATGTTTCATAAGCAGATTCATAAGACACATGGCATTTATCTCGTTTCAGAAACTGCCAGATTAATTCTGTTCTTATCGAACATCGGTTTCTGAGGTAGATGACCGATCATTTGCTGTAAATTTCGCTCTTTTTGTAGAGGAAAAATATACACCGTTTCAGATTGGCGATGTTCCATCAGCCGAGAGTTCAATATTTTATCAAATTTTAGAGAATAAACTTAGGATATTGTTTAGGGCAGAAACTTTTTTTTGCAATGGCAGAAAATCCAGAGTACGAAGACATGGAACAGCCTAGTTCTTCTACCGTATCTCCCATAAATGTGATCGTTTTGGGTATGGCAGGTTCGGGCAAGACTAGGACCGTTCAGGTACATGATTACGGGATGCGTTTTATGGATTTTCCGTTATTAATTATTTTTGCTAATATTAGCGCATGACCGCTTGGCTGCATCAGAATCGTTCACCGCCGTACGTTATAAATCTCGACCCGGCCGTTCTGGAAGTGCCCTATCCCGTAAATGTTGGTATATGGATTTATTATTCACTTGCTTGTTTTATGTAATGTGTTGCCTAGATATAAGAGACACGGTGAAGTACAAAGAAGTGATGAAACAGTAAGTTTAATGACATCTGAATAAGTGTGGTTGGAAATATTGCCCCGGTATTTATGACAGTAATTTTGTAGTTTTTATTTATGCCAACCCCGGCTCCAAATACAGCTCATCATTCATAAAAACGGCCATGTTTACTCTATACTCCATGTTAGATCCTACCCATAGGTAGCTCGCCATCATGACGTGCAAAATTGCTGCGGATCTTACTCCAGATTTAGCAGTGGTTTCGCACTCCCTGAATCATAACTAAGCTATAGATGATTCAGTAAAAAAAAATGATTGATAAACTGTTCGTGAGCTTTAATACAAAACAGTGCCTAACTCCCCTTGAAAGCTTTCTCTGAAGAAAATCCACTACTTTGAAGTTTTTACTTCTGTTGTGTTCTAAGCTGCATAAACAGTTTTGTACAGGCAAACACTACACTTCGTTTGAGATGGACAAAAGACAAATCAGCTTGTGACTACAAACTGCAACGCTTATCAAGTCGGTCAACATAGTTAACCTTAACCTTCAGTCCTGTATTCAAACCAGGGTTGCTTAATCGGTATAGCGTCGGATTCAGAACCGACAGGTTCCGGGTTCGAGCCCTGGTCAGGTTATTCGCCTTTCTTCATTCGAGATAGATAAATGTGTACCACTTTCTGAGACGGAAACAGGAGAGTACACACTGTACTTGTCACACAACTGCTATTAACGTTGCCTTTAAAAAATAAGGCATCATTCTTGACTGATGGCGTGGAAAAGGTGGTTGCCGCCCCACCATTAACTTCATGAAACTGTAAAGAGGGCCGACATTCACATTGTTAGAAACTTTCCTTTTTCGAATAGCAGGTATCTTCGTTTGATGACATTGCTAAGATTTTGCATTTTAGGTTTGAACTGGGTCCAAATGGTGCTATTATGACATCGCTTAATCTGTTTGCTACTCGCATTGATCAGGTATCAACGATAATCGTTCAGAATATATCTGATAAGCCCTTCAATACTGTTATGTTTTTCCAGATGATCAATCTTCTTGAGAACCGCAAAGCAGATTTCAAGTAGGAAGCTTCTCGGTTTAATCCATGTTTATGCACTTTTGATTAGGTATGTGCTGTTTGACACTCCCGGACAAATAGAGGTAGTGACTTGGTCTGCTTCGGGCACAATACTCATCGAAACACTGGTACGTCTGATTGTAATTTTAGAGTAGTCCTTTATTTGGAACCCCACATGGTGGGCGGCCAAGGATCGTACCAAATGTCAAACAAAGCTAATCTATTTGAAATTCATAAAATGTTAACTCGGTATGATAGAATTGTCGCACTTCAGTGCATTTCTCTTGCTCCAGCAATCGCATAGGAATTGCGGGTTCTTAGCATTAACTGGTTAATTTGTATGCTTTGGAGATACTCTTTTTGCATTTGCGTTTATGTATTGAATTGTTTTATCATATAGTGATGAAAGCAAATTTTAGGCTTCTCTTTATCCTACGGTGATCTTATACGTCGTCGACACTGCCAAGTGTATGAATCCAATCACGTTTATGTCTAGCATGTTGTACGCCTGCAGTATTTCGTACAAAATGAAGCTACCCTTTATTCTTGTTTTCAATAAAGTAATCGTTTTAAAGACTAATCAGCTTTTTGATCGTTTGAACAGAAGTCTGACTTTTCAGATAGACATTATTCGAGCAGACTGTGCGATTGAATGGATGAAAGATTTTGAGGAGTTTCATGAAGCGCTGAAAGAATGCAGCAGTTATAGTGCAGATTTGGCGCACTCGTTGAGTTTGGCATTGGACGATTATTATTCGGTCTTAAAGGTATACCAGGGCACTATGTTAATTGCGATATTGCATGATGGATATCCTATTTTCAGACGTTATGTAAATGAAACTACGGAGTTTCATCGTTATCATTCCAAGACGTTATGTATGGTTCGAATCTTCGGTAGCAGGATGATAATAAAATTCTGATATAAGAAAGTGACCTGGAGACTACGTTTATGAGACTACTTTAGATATGCTACTTCTAGTGATCGAAATGCATTGACTTGCTTAGATTCAGTATATAATTCGACAAAAATTTAGATAAAGGAAGTTTAAATCGAACGGAATTCAGGGCCTGCTCGTTTAAACATAGTCATTTATTTTCGTTGATGACTAATTGCCATCAATTCATTATAAGGACTTTTTTCTACTGTTCATACCTGGCGATAATTCTTAAATATCTGGCAAACACTAAATGGTTTCAAAAGCTTTTCGTGTTTTGATCATATCCATGACAAATTCTGTTTCTGTAATTTCAGCATATGAGGCCTGTCGCGTGGCCCATTTCGAAAATCAAATTTACGCAATCCCTGTAGGCTTTCTGTAAATCCAGTGGATGAGAATATAAAACTGATATTCATAATTTATTACCTGGCAGAAATATATTGACTATAGCTATTCAGTTATGAAGCATTTTCTTGAAATTATATTTTTGCAATTAAATATTGCAAATTTTTGTTTAGTATTGTTCTATATCATCGATGACCGGCGAAGGCATGGAGAAACTTTTTCAGCTGATCTCAGAGGCGAAGGAAGAATACGAAAGGCAAGTTGGTTGTATTATATATCGTTTAAAACAGAGCAAATATCTCTGTTGCCCGATTGGCTCAACTTTGCTAAGTTTTATCCGCAAACATGCAGAAAATTATAAAAAGACAAACTAACATTTCATTCAGCAACAAATTACATATTCAGATGAAGTAATATTGGAACACATGTTGAATTTTTATAAGTGAATTTGACGTTTAAATCTTCTTCATATCAAGCTGTTTCCATTTTCCCTAATCTTCAATATCAACATAGTTAATGACTTGGCTAACGATACGTCTGTTGTCTTCAAAGTCATTTGATTGAATCCTATTAGAACAAAATGTGGCAGTTTAGAGAAACTATTTAATATTTAAACAATTAATGTAACAAACATCCACGTACTTACTTTTAAACATCTGGTTACTAATAGTCATTGCCAGAAGAATATATCCATTGTATCATGTCGTGTTCTTTTAATTGACTATGAGTGAACATAACGAGTAATGAGACAATGGACTACTTTCATTGCGTTCCTGTGTTAAGTATCGTCGTCGTCGTAACCCATCAGTAAATTTTCTGACAGCCTGGGTAGTCACTCGTTCTAGTTCAGATGTGCGATCTCGGGTTCCTTCCTCATCTTCTAATATCTCGTTTTGGTCTGTTGATAGAATCCTTTCAGTGATTTCATTCTCGCAGTCTTTATTTTTGCTGTAACATTTAACAACATTGTTCATGCCTTAAAATTCTTCATAGTTCCTAACCTTTTGAACTTCTGAAATGGCTCCATATTCACTTTTGGCTGTTTCAGGCATCTACAAGTCAGAACGCTTATGACCGCCGTGAGAAAAATAGTTATGAATTGTCTGAGTGCCTGTTTCTAGCCAACCATCAGCAATGAATTGTGTCACCTGAAAAATGTTAACCCTCTGAACTCACTTCTTTGGCTGTGGAAGATGATATCAGTAAATTATTTTCAATCGCATCTAGTATGTAGTTCCCCAACTTTCGATAGTACGACATCTTTAATTTTTTCATGATTCCCATATTTATTGCCTGCACCAAGGATGTTACATTGGTAGACAGAAATTCCAGTTTCTTGATTTTCAGACACTCTGAACACTGAGGATGTGCAGTGGCCAAAAATCAGAAGAATCTTTGTTTTTTCCGCTCTAGCTCCACATCCTATATCATCAAACATTTTTAAAAATTTCGGTCGTCACTCATGCACCTTTGTTTAGCTTGTTTTTTGCCCCCCCCACGTGTTTTAACAACATAGCACAGTTATACGATCCTCTGCTCTCTTAGATCCCAGCCATTTTACTTGACTGTAGCAGAGAGAAGCGTTTGGCTACCGAGATAAAATAGGCCTGTTTCATTAGCTTTGTAGATATCATCTTCATAAAATTTCTGATGTAATTCTTAAACTTTCTTGGATTTCGATTCGTTTTCATGTACAAAACCATGTTTTTAGCCATGTATTTTCTTGAATTTAATCTGATGCCTACATTCCCATCGAGACAGCTAACCATCGGTTGCTTTAAAATCGCCATTGCCCAGCCTCATAGCGAACTCCTCCGACTTCATTTATGGCATTTGACCACTGACGCGTCCCCCTCGTTCAGTTACAGTGGACGGCCACAAATTTACAGCATCGTCAACGTCATGATCCTTACCCTTACGCTTCCATTTTTTGAATGTTGCTTTTTTCCACCGTGTTTCCATTCTTCTCACAGGTTATACCGTTTGTATGTCAAATTTGCATTCGTAGATTTCGGAACTCTAGTTATTTCTGCCTAATGACGATGACTGGTATTGAGCGGATAACCTTTGATTTAGTCTAGAGACAGTGTTTTTTGGTAGTGACAAGTCTTTGTGTGGAGTTTTGGAAAGGGTTCATAATTTAATAAAATAAAAAGCAAAATTATCAAAAATCGAAGCACTGAAAAATGTCACGCTTCCTGATTTAGCATTTTCGTAGTATTAAAGATGACACACGTGTGCATAACTGACGTTAATTAGGAACTGTGCGCTGTATGGAGGCAATGCTGTGTGATTGGATTCGGTGAAATGAGTGACGAGTCATGCACTTCACATGAAAGGGCTGAAGGAATATAATTAGGAGAATAAAAGAGGCAGAATAGGCAAAACCGAGTTTAGTGTTGAGCTGATGAAGCGTTTTCATGCGTCTGCTAGAAGTCTGGGGATGATTCAGATGGCGAGTAGATTGACTCTTTCGCACTTTTATGTCCCGATTAAAAGGCATGTTGCCCAACATAAACGAAGAAGACTGGCTATTTTCCCAGTTAGGTTCTGTTATTTAGGATTTGTCCCAAATAAGCGGCTGTCTTGAATTACCGGTGGCCCAGTTAACCGGAATATACGTCCTGTGTTCATATATTATGAAGCTATGAGCTGCTTAAAGAAGATAGCTT